AGTGCCTATGTTGTTTTTTATTTTTGTTACTCGCTGGAGTAGTTTTCCATCAGAATGCTCTGTTCTCGAGGAGCTCGGAATCGTATGCTTGAGTTCGAATTCCTGCTTCTCTGTTGATTTGTTTGTTTAATTTTAATTATCATTATATTTGTTGAATACTGAAACCAATAAAAGCTACGGTGTGATCACTCTTCGATAATTCTGAATTTTGTAATGAATTGTTTATTTAGAAGGTCCCAATACATTAGCTTGTTTGAACCGTAGCGGTACAAAAAAAGTGTGAAGTAGTTACTATAAAATGGTTTCAATATGCCTGAAATTGAGCTCTTCTGGACATGCCAGATCACGAATTGTATATAGACTGAGAATCCGCTCTTGATCTTGTTCATACTCGGTAGCTTTTTGGCTGGACCTATCATAGTGTGTTTGTGGAAAAGAATCATCTTCATATTGAAGTTACCGATTCGGGATTAAATAGGTTTAAATTAGTATAGATTTTTTTTTTTTGGGGTACGATTTATTCAAGGCTTTGATCACATGACAGTGATGTGCGCATCCTATGAAGGTGACAAGATATTAACTATCTCATTAAAATACATAAATTGAACTGCAACTTTCAATGTGATTAACGAACACTTAGGTGTCTAGGATAATGATGGGCGTGAAAAAGCACACCACGAAAACAACCTGAGAATTGGGAATTTAGTTGTGTTAGTGCATTTTTTTTTTTAATTTAGAAATTTGGGCAGTTAGAGTTAAAAGTATGTAGTCACGTAAAGACGTGTATTATCCATTTCGGTTAAGATAAAGGTTTGTGTGCCCGGAGCTGACTGTAAAGTTTACTAAATGAAATGTCATCACTACCTTTTGTTTTGATATGCGACACTAAGGCAAGATATAGAATTTACATTGTTTAATTTTTGGTGCCTTCTTCTTTTTTTCAACTAATTTGCTCACTTTTTGGTCGCAATCAATTCGCTGTATTATTTTTTGACCGTGTAAAGACGATTGGGAAGTTAAAAGTCGTTTACATCTTAATCTCTGCTACGTGTTACTTTTGAAGCTACTGGACTAGGATAATTATCCAAAGACATCCGGCCCCAATGTTTTTGACTTTTTTTTTTCACCCTCCCCCTCTCCTTTCCACATTTTAATCAAAATTTTAATCCTGAATTTGACAGTAGAAAGCACCTTTAAAGTCCTACCTTAACCATTGGAATAAATGACCTCAACAATTCCACGTGTTTAACTTACTTGGCTTACCTTGGTACCGTCTTAAAGTTTTTTAAGGCATTCGTCCTTGTTTGTTTCCCCTTGACCGAAAGAACGAGGAGGAAATGAACAAGCATATTTAATATTGTGTTTTTTTTTTTTATGCCGGATGTGATCAATTATTGGAGGTAAATATTGGGTCAAAGCTGTATTTGGCCGTTATTGACATCTCGTGTTGACAACTTCTGCATATGTGGGGACTGGCGAGGGGCCGGTAGATGGAGTGAAGCGGCAAAAGCATGGGGGTGCCGGTGATTATGAGTGATAAAGAGTGATGCTATAGGGGAAGAGTTGTTTTCTTTTATGCGTTAATTTATCCCTGCATTTTATGTTAAAAGTGATTTCACCGTCAAATTGTTTCTTTCTCGTAGCCAAAAATCAGCAATAGGAGTTAGAATTTAAGCATGCACTTGCCCACTTAGAAGGGAATGCGGGCAATTGTAAGTAAAACAACTTGGAATAGTCGAAACCATAAGTTGGCCAACTGGGATAAGGTTAAGAAAAAACAAAAAAAAAAAAGAATTTTCGTGGTCAAGGTATAAAATATTCCAGATTACTATATGGGTCTTCATAAAGAGATCGTCGTAACTGTTTTTCTCTCTTTGGCGTCTACTTGCTTTCGTCTTCTTTTCCTTTGCTAACCCAATGCTTTTGGTGAGAATAAATGATTTTCTTTTCCATATTACTACGCTTTCTTTCGACTTCTTTTCCTTATTAACCCAATGCTTTTGGTGAGAATAAATGATTTTTTTTTTGGGATCAAGTACACATGACAGCTGCACTATTACACCAAAAAAAAAAGACAGCTGCACTAAGCTGAGAATAATAAATTTTATAGAGAAATCTTCCTTCGGTTCCGTGAGCATGTGATGGGCGGTGGAAGAAATTAAAGCCACCAACGTGCAAATTGTATCCTAAGACCACCGTTATGTTTAAGAGGCCCCACAATCACCAATTCGGGTCTCCCGTAGTCCCCTTGTGCTGTTAAGCCCATACGCAAGAGTCAAGACCCAGATGCACTAATCCAACAGTTTCCTTAGGAATTATTGGATTAGTAAATACTAATCCATTTAGTATGAAGTTTAATCACTTGAGCCGTATGTAGAAGAAAGGCAAATACCGTGGCAACATATTCATTAAGAATACTAAGTGATGTCCAATTATTGGTGACATGTATGGAATATTATTGCTGTTGGTAATCACTCGAAATAGAAAAGGATAGCTGCCCCCCACTTAGGTGCACCAGGTATTAAGCCTTTAGCAAATCAATAGGAGCATGATTACATATATAACTTTCTCATCTGCATGATATTGAATTGCAATTCTAGCAATCAAGCAAATTAACTTGGGAATTAATCTAGCATTTGATTTGAGGATGCTTTTTCGTATGACAATGCAAACTATGCAATTTCAAATTGAATGATGACGTATAAAGTAGGAACCTAAAAGTACAGATCTGTTTGGATTCATCAGTTTTCAAAAATTAGTTTTTCAAATACTATAAAAATTTTTAAAAAGTACTCTAAAAGGTATTCTAAAAAGTAGTTAATTTTTTTTATGTTTAAAAAATATTCCAAAATATATTCTAAAAATTCTACTACTCTTAAATATCTCAAAATATATTCTAAAAATATTTCAAAATATACTTTAAAAACTTTGCTACAGTAAATTTTTTTAAAAACACTCCCAAAAACAATTAATCCAAATGAATTTAAATTTTACCATTTTCTATTTTGTATACTCAATGATCCATTTTTTGGTCATGATGTTCAAGTACTCAAAAACTATTCTTGACAAATTCTGTAGATGCATATTTCTTGAATAACATAATGGAACAATTAGTCACTATTCTGGTAGTGCTAAAGTAGAGCAAAGGATTGATAATAAAAGTAATAATGGATGCTTTTGCATTTTGAATTTTAGGTTTTTCCTTTCTCTTTATAGTCTCGTTGTGATTGCATGTGAATTTTGAGAAAGAAATTGTCATAATATACGCTATTGTGGTACCAAGTAGTAATTTTTTTTATTATTTGGTGAAGAATGAAAAGTTAGAGATCCATGAAATTCTCTATCATCTGACAGTTATGAATGTTCAGTATAGATGCCCTGTTCACTTTTGCCTAGTAGCGACTTCTAAGGTAGGAAATATACCAGTTATCGTGTTTTGATCTTTGTTATGCTTGTTGCAGCCTGGAGGGACAGATGGTTTGAAACCTGAAGATGTAGATCCCCGCTTGATTTTCCATTATGGCATCCCATCAGGAGCTAATTTGTTTGCTTACAATAATCCTAAAAAGATTTTAGCTATTTCAGTTAGGTGAGTCTCTGTTACAATGATGAGATGAATAAATCATTTAGACCACTCATGGAAATTTAGCTTCCGTTCTTTCTACTTGACAGAATTTCACCGTCATGGTTCACTTGTGTTTCTCGAAAGTGTCATTCATTTACTGACTTTAAATCTACAAATGTCTTTACTTTTTAAACATTTTGAGTGTGAAAATACACAAATGCATTTGATTTAGTGCTATCGTAAGTTTATGTGGGACAATGGATTTGCAGATTTCCGCATGATTTTTTCCTAGTAAACCTCGTTATTCTGAAGAGTTCATCTTTTCTTGTACTTGACATTTGATGTCCAGCATTAGGCTAGAAGATCCCAAATTGCACCATTAACCCATTATAGTGATGCTTGACTTGTCACGTCTGAGTCTGTTACTAATTAAATCAATTGTCGTAATATTTGCAGGGATGGTCAGATTAAATTATTTGGGAAAAATGGCAGCCAGACCTTGTTGGAATCTCCTGAAGTGTTGCCAAGCAAATTTCTGCAGGTAGTCCACCTATAGCGTGCTTTTCAGCTTTCATAATTTTTTCCGTCTGTGGTGAGAGATATTGGTTATTGACGTTGCTATTAGAACCATGAGTATGTATATCTATTGGCCCTCCAGCATGTGTTCTACTTCATGTGATAATTTACATGAACCGATCCTTTCCCCTGGTTTGGAAAGTGTTGCAACTTATTTTGATGTGTTGTACTTCATGTGATAATTTACATGAACCGATTCTTTCACGTGGATTGGGAAGTGTTGCAACTTATTTTGACCTATAGTTCTTGTCGTGCAGTTCATCGAGAACCAACAAATCCTTGTAAACATAAATTCCAATAATCACATTGAGGCAAGTTGACCAATTTTGAGATCCTTTACAAGTTGTTTTGCTTTTGTCTGGTAAAGCTTTAAGAGATTATCAAGTCAGGAGAAACTCTAGTTCTGCTTGTGGGTTGTCTCTTTTCCTGTATTTGAGTATTTCCTTTGTTGATAGTAACTTGAATCTTTACTAGTTTAAGCAATATGTAGGTCTGGGATCTAGAAAAGAGGTGCTTGTCTTATGTTCATGACTTCAAAAAGGAAATCACCTCTTGTACATCCATGCTTCATGCTCCATACATGTAAGTTATACAACGTTCGATGCAACTCAGTAGTTAATAGCATACCTTATCAATAACTTAAGACTTTAGTTGATCTAAAGATTATAAATGTATATGGCAGGTATTTTGGAGATTCTGCTGGTAATGTTTCCGTTTTCAAGGTTAATCAAGAGCCAACTATTATAGAGCAGATGAAGTACCATATACCACTCTCAGCATCCCACGGTGAGAGAATAACAGTTTCTTTGATATAGTACTACGTACTTTTTTGCCTACTTTCTCAGATTTTTGCGGAGTGTTATAGTCAATTTTTTTTTTTTTTTGGTTTTGTGGTTATGAATATTTGAGATTGAGCAATGGAGGAAAAAGACTACCTGAGAGTGGGAAAACAAAGTAATCAACAATTAATTTATTCGGCTACGTAGAGGAATTAACAATACCTTGTAGTGAGAGAAGATGCAACAGCATCTATTATGCACAAATCCTGATGACTAACCTTCCTACAGGGAATTCAGGTCAAGTTCCTGCTGATATTGCCGTCATTCATATACTGCCTCAACCTACAGCGGAAAGTAAGAGGTACCATTTTGTTCGTTCAAATGCCGTAGCAAAGTAATGACTTACATGCATAAGGCAGCATCAAATCATAAAATTCAGAATAGAAATAACAAAGAGAGTTAACATCGTCCTTCATTGTGAATGCTCTTTCCGCAATTATCGTTATCTGCATCCATTTGTATAATTCCTTTCTAAATTGTATATCAGGTAAGGCTATTTTGCCAGAAACACGAGCAGCTGTAAGAAGTAGAATTTGATATGGAAATAGACAAACTGATTTACTTTTCTCTTGGACTCTCATTATTTTGTCAACTTCTCTGTGGGCCTTTTTCCCCAACAATTTGATTTTGATGCAGGGTTCTTATTATTTATACTGATGGTTTTATGACATTATGGGACATCCAAGATAGCAAAGCCATTTTCACTGCTGGTGGGACAACATTGCAAGCAACATCCCATGAAACAAAGAAAGTGACTGCAGCAACTTGGGCTTGCCCATTTGGAAGCAAAGTAGTTGTGGGATACAGCAATGGAGAGATTTTCATGTGGAGTATTCCAGCTCCTTTGCACTCTAAAGTTGAACAAACAAAAGAGAAGGACCCTTATGCTCAAAATGGTCCAGTTATTAAACTAAATCTTGGATACAAACTGGACAAAATACCTATTGCAAAGTTAAGGTGGGATTATGCAGATGGAAAAGCAAGTCGATTATATGTCATAGGAAGCTCTGACTATCCTTCAGCAAACTTGCTACAAGTAACATTTCCTTTTCTTTGATTTTTTTTCCTTTTTTTTTTTTGGGTATCCAATGTCCTTTCTGAAAATTGTGATTTCACAAGTTATTATAAGAGTCTTTGTCTTACTCATAAAGGTGTATACTTAAGTTTTCATTAATAGCAAATTTAAAGCACGGGGATGCTGCCATTGCGTGGTCTTGAATATAGGATTTCTTCTTAAGTGCTCATGTCATTTCCAGTAAACAAAAATGTGACTTCGATTGTGACAGCAGGGAAGTCATGCAAAAACATTTTCAGTTCATCAGACTATTTAGCTTTCAACTTAATCTACTGCACTCTCAGTTGTCAATATGGGACAACACCAGTCAATGACAAGTCGTACTAATTTCAATATTTCTGTTGATTAAAAGCATAAAATTCTCCACACCTGTTGTGGAGGGTGTTTGTCAATATAATAGTAAGGCATCTTGTTATCCCAGAGTTAACTATGAGAGTCAGTGAACCATGTTGAAGCCACAACTTTTGTTCTGAAGGATTCTCTAATTGTGGACTCATTTGATGATTATGTTAGCTCTCCTGTTAGTTGATTTTATTTAATTTTTGTACTAACTTGGTGCTAATCTGCAGGTAGTTCTACTCAATGATACTATTGAATCCCGTACAATCAAATTGGGGCTCCATACCCACGAATCTCCTATTGATCTGGAGATAGTATCGAGCTTTAATCCACAATGCAAGCAAAAGAACGATTCTCTCCTTTTGCTTGGAAAGTCAGGTCATATATACACCTATGACGATTACCTCATTGAAAGGTACCTATTACAGTGCCAATCCAAGTCCTCCCCATCACTTCCAAAGGAGATAAAGGTGAAATTGCCATTTGCTGATCCAAGTATCACAGTTGCAAGATTCGTGCAAGATAACCCACATCTCCTATACTTGAAGGATCAGGTAGTGACTGAGTTATGTTACTTCTTTTTCTCCTCCTTGCTTAATTTTCAACAATTTGACTTCTTTGAAAATGTTTAGGACTATAATTCACTAGCAAAAGACATCTTACCACTTTTTCCATTTGAGACAACACAAAAAGATGGAACGAGCTCAAACTCAACACAACCTAGGGGGCTTTCAAAGGCGAAGAACTTATATATAACTGGACATGACGATGGAGCCATAAGAATATGGGATGTTTCTTGCCCACTCATGCGTCCAATTCTATCAGTAACTCAGCAGGTAATTTCATACAGGATGTGATACTTCTGCTTTCAGTTTAGATTCCTTCAAGAAGATAGTCAAGTGCCCCTCTTGTTTTCCTTTCCTCTTCTGGGGAAGCAGTAAATTAATGGATCAGTTTGAGAAATAACCCCTTAGTTAGCAGGAGAAGCCAAAACTCCGACATTCCTCACTTGTTCCCTCAACTATGAAGTGCTATTTGACAATTCCTGTCATCACAAAGAGTTTGTATCTCTTTATTTTATATGCCTTACTGAAGGGTGTGCCCTCCAAATTTCAATCATACGAGAAGTTTTTCTACTAAACTTCAATGAATCATCACGTTTAACATCTACAGATGGGCTTGAGATGTAACTGCTGAGAACATCAGACTGCTTTACTTTTTTCTTCTTTCAACATTATAATGTATTTCATCTCCTCTAGCTTTTCTTAATTCCATAGCGACTGATCATATGCAGAGTGAGGAAGATACTTCTCTAAGTGGTGTACCACTGACAGCACTGTATTGCACTAGTGATTTGCAGATCTTTGTTTCTGGCGATCAAGGTGGACTGGTAAAGTCTTTTTGTTCATGAAATTGACACAAGAAAGATATCCACTTTTGTTTTCATGTTGATTCTAAGCTTTCATCATGCACTTTATGCAGATACGGATGTATAAATTTAAACCTGAGCTCTTTGCCCCAGAAACCAGTTTCTTGTCCCTGCAAGGTATTTTGAGATGTTGCTGGGAATATTTTTCACTGAATCTTTTGTCATGTCATACATTGTAGGTTTGAACTAGAGAAACCATTCTAACATACCGCGGTAGAAGAAAACATCAGTCTACACGTCCCAAACATTTACCACAAAGCAGCTTCCTTCATAATGGCGTAGGAGCCATCATGTCATCAAATCTAAGTTGCTTGTTAAAGATTCTAATTTGTAAATTGCATGCCGGAAAAAATTTCAACAGAAATGGCAAATTCTACCTAACTGTTTTTGTTTCTTTGCTAGGCCCATGAGTTTATTTGATCCATCAGCTGTATATTTAGTCAAATTCATATTCATTCATGCTCACTCCAACTGTACTTGAGCTTTCAAAAATCACACATATCTTCTAACGATTTTGCATGTGCTCATTGCCAGGAGTTTCGAAGAAGGGTAGCGTCATCCAGAGTATTAAACTTCTGCAGGTTAATGGAGCTGTACTTTTCATAAACTCAATCCAGAATGCTAAATATCTTGCAGTTGGGACAGATCAAGGATATGTATGCTTTCCTCTCCTAGATTCAGATTATTGGCATCTAATTTTGAATATTTACATTGTTGTCTATAGTTCCTCAGAATTTATGAATGGTTAAAGAGTATGGTTTACTTATTTTGTATGGTAAATGTGTGAGGAGGAGTTGGTTGATGGATGATAACGGGGATAAGTTTGAGACTTTCTGACTTAGAATATGAATGGTGCACTGGACTTGGGTGTGCTAGTAACAGTGACCACCCTTTAGACGAAGGCCACTATCAGGAAGAATGTACTGTATACTTTTACTCGTTTAATGCATAATGATTAGGAAAGATTTTGATTAATTCACATATATTTCTGTCATTATTTTTTAACTATATAAATGAAGATGCTAACTTTTCTTCTTTTTTTTTTGGTTTTAACGTCTTATACAGGTTTGCCTGATTAATCTTGAGGGACCGACTTTGTTGTATGAGAGACATTTTGCAAGTGAACTCAGTACAGGAATAATCTCTTTGCAATCTGTAACTTGCAGCTTGCATGGTTTTGAAAAGAATGTTTTGGTTGCTGCAACTAAGGATTCTTCTGTGGTAGCACTCGACACTGAATCAGGAAATACTCTCAACACTAACATGATACGTCCTAAGAAACCTTCTAGAGCTTTGTACATGCAGATTTTGGGTAATTTGTTATTAAGTTTTTTCTTTCTTTTGTTCCTGTTTTCCTTGAGATGTTGCTCAGCTCATGGCCGCATTTAAAATCAGTCAAGTTTTATCTCTTTCCTTCCCTGTAAAATCTTTACAGATGGACTGGAGGTATCTAGTAGGTGTCCTAACACATCAGAAAGGACAGAAACTATCAAGGGGAATTCTGACAGTCCACAATCAAAGCAACAAGTAGTGGTGGTTTGCTCTGAGAAAGCTGTTTATGTCTACTCCTTGGTTCACATTCTACAGGTTAGAAAACATGTCATCATTAGGTACATGTAACGCATGGAGAAAGTACTTGAGCTGCTTTCCTCTGATCTTTGGCAGATGTTGTTTTTGTTTGTTTAGGGTATTAAGAAGGTGCACAATAAGAAGAAGTTCCATTCCTCTTCTTGTTGCTGGGCATCAATTCTTGAAAGTCCTGGTTCAGGGTTGATTCTTCTATTTTCGAGTGGAAAGATCGAGATCAGGTGTTTCTTCTTTCTAATTCTGCTCCATCAATTACTCTAGTTACATTAGTTGTGTACATGAATACCATCCTTCTTCCACAGTCAGTTATGGCTGTGAACTTTACCTGCAATATTGAATACGTGCAGTTGATTGAGAGAGGATGTATCAATTTTGCTGCTAGGATAAGTTATTTTGTTGCTCTAATTGTTACTTTTGGAAATAGTTGTACATGTATGAGAAGGAAAAGAGTAGTTTCTACTAAATTGCATATATGAAGTTGTAATGTTTCCCAAGTTCTGATTGACATGTCTGGATCACGAAATACTTATCTACTTAAATTCAGATCCTTGCCAGAATTATCTCTTCTAAAGGAAACTTCTGTGAGAGGCCTCAGACCTTCAATTCCAAAGCAGAACTCAATTTCTAACACTTCAGTGTGCTTCTCAGTCAACGGTGACATGATTTTGGTATACTAATATCTCTAAGCTGCTTCACTTGTTTGATATTCTATACCTCATTCAAGATTATAACACCACAACTTTGCAGGTGGAAGGTGATCAGGAAGCATTTTTTATCTCAGTATCGCTCCAAAAGGATATCTACAGGTAAGAGGCATTACTGACTCCGGGAATGATTACTAATGCCTATTCTGTTCACTTTAATCTAACCTCCACATTGTTAGAATATGGGAATGATTCCGTATGGAAGTAGTAGGAAGTACTTTCTGATCTCCCATGTATGAAATGTGGGGAAATCACCTAGGCTGATTCTGTGCTGATTTTCCTTTGTGATGATCTCATCTGCTATCTAGGTTTCTGGATGATGCTTCCCAAGTCCATTCCCATCACCTAATGGTTGCACAAGAGTCCTCACACATCATTCATAAAGAAAAGAGGAAGGTACACATTTTGAAACTACCTGAACTGCCCAAGACTCTTTAAGTGTAGAAACTGAACCACTGTCTGTCTAACTTGGAGCAACAGGGTTTATTCGGATCTGTTATTAAAGATATTAAGGGGACTAAAGCAAAGAGCGAGACAGATGTGGAAGTTGAAGATGCAAAAGAAAGTATTGAAGCATTGTCTACTATCTTCTCAGTTGCTAACTTTCCAGAAGAAGTAGATAGTGAAGAAAAGAGTGCGGGCAAAGATGACACTGATCTGGACATAGGTACTTCCTTTAAACTATTTTATTAATATGCCTCTTCTCAAGGAAAAAGCTAATTTGTACCAACACCAGCAGCTGTTGAATACATTAGTTCGACACTGGTGCTTTTGAGTTTATTTCGGCTGTGCCTTATTCACAATTTTGTCCTTTATGAACATCTAGTTTCCTCTTGGTTGTGTGCATGTTTTGTTACACTGAGTCATTAACACAACCAACCATAATGACATGTTTTGCGCTTGAAAAGATGACATTGACATTGAAGATCCTGGTGAGAAGCAGAAAGGATATGGAGTAATGGCAGCTCTAAACAAACAGAATTTGGCAGATACGTTTCAGACATTTAAAGGTTAGTCTGCCTGTGATTTCAGGATGAACCTCTTTCTTTACTTGTTGCTTTTTTCTTAGTTTCATGCATTATGTCACGACTATAGTCATCTAGGATTGTAAGGACTGTTATTCCGAGATTGTAGCCTACAAGGTTAAAGTACGTCTCACATCACTTCTGAGTGAATTCCGTTTTTAATCTGTCCAGTTTGCCATTCTATTGTTGTCGCAGATGAGTGTTAACTTTTGTATATATTTCTAGTAAGACAATGGCGTTCATTTTCTTCAATTTGCAGGCAGATTTAAACATATGAAGGTAAAGACCGATAAAAAGTCAACAAATGAAGTGATGCAAGACGAGAAGGGTGGTTCTGTTGACCAGATAAAGAAAAAGTATGGATACACATCCACTGGTGTAAGTATCCATAGTTAAAATATGCTACTAAATAATGATGCTTGATAAACTTGTCATTGTCAGATACTTAGATTTTGGATAATAATGACATTGAAGAATACTAGAATCATGGGGCCTTCAACTGCTAATAAATCACAGATTTTTGTATAAGCTGAAATTTGATTTTCACCAAGGTGAAAATGATTGAAGAAAGTAGAAGAAATTTTCTTGCCTTGGGACAACAAGCTGCATATAGCTATTTTCGAAGCACCAAAAAAGGTGCATCAAAACCTAAAACGTTCTCTTTCCTTCTTTCTGTGCAGGAACCATGTGTTGCAACTGTTGCTAAAACAAAGCTGACTGAGAATTTGAAGAAGTTGCAGGTATTGTCTAACTGTCCCTCCTTTCAATATTGACACAGGCCTTTACTAGATTGTAGAGAGAGGATCAAATGAAGGCTGAGATAGCCTGCGAGTCTTTCATCGTTAACCGATTCCTATGAAAAAGCAAAAAGACTATTGTTTACTTTCATCGTTAACCGATTCCTACGAAAAAGCAAAAAGACTATTGTTTAGTAATCCAAGTTAGTTCTTACATAGACAGACGCCTTAAGTTGCTTAAAATAGAAAATCTCGAGAGAAAAACATTTCACTCGTAAAGATATCTAGTCTTTTCATTATAAATGTTGCACTAAAAGCACATTATAGTAAATAATTCTCGAGCTTTTGCAAATTACTCAAATTCTTTGGTAATGGACTCTTCTCATAAATTCAAGTCATTATATTTCCTTAAACATCAATATATCGAAATTGGTAGCATTACTTATATCACTAAATCTTCTCTTGCGGAATTCCTAAAACAGTCTCAGATGAGACATTCCTGACTATACCTTTCTGCCAAGAGAACCTTTAAAGGATCATCTTCCCTTATACCAAACAATTTTTAGATGATTTAGATTATGGAGAACTGTTGACAAATGAAGATTTTACAAGCTTAGTTTCAATAGAATGGTTTGGTGCCAAAACAGGTCACCGTTAATCCCAACAACCTGAAACCTGTTTAACGCAAGCATCTAGGATTTAACCAGAAACTAAGACAAATTTGTTTTATCATGCAGGGGATAAGTTTGAAATCTTCCGAGATGCAGGACACCGCTAGATCGTTTTCTTCAATGGCCAAAGAAGTTTTGCGATTTACTGAAAATGACAAACGAAGTTGATCCTTTCTAATCGTTTGGTAAATATATTTTACCGAAGTGTTGGATTATTTTTTCTATTTTCCAACCTTCCATTTGTTTATCACTAGTTCTTTTGCTTGTACAGCCATTCTAATTTGTTAAAAACCCTGGCCAAGGAATGCGCTGCTTGTATTTGTTGAAATGGTTTACCTAGGTAGATTTTTGGGTCAATATGTTTCAAACTGTCGTGTATTTATATGCATTTTTTTCTACAGAAATGAATATCTTTTTCCTGTAAATTAATGAGGATTATGGGTCCGTTTGTTTCGGGTGAAAATGTTTTCCAGGAAAATATTTTCCTAATTTCCCATGTTTGGTTGCACAAAAGTTACTGAAAACATTTTCCTATGTAAAATATTTTCACACATCTTATGGAAAACAATTTCCCTTCCAAACTTACTGAAGTTGTTTTCCGAAATGCATGCATCCCGCCTGTAGTATGTTCTAAACTTACTGAAAACATCTTGTAGTATGTTTTTTTTTTTTTTTTTTAGTGTAAATAGGAGGATTCGAACCCAAAACTTCTTCCTTACACTCCCTTCCCCGTACCACCCAACCCAACCCTCCCTTTAGTATATTCAAAATAAAAAAAAAACCTTATCATGCTCATCCTATGCTAGAAATTAATTATGTATAATAGAAACATTCTTTTCTAGAGAAACTTTCAACAGTGAGAGTGCAAGATATATGTTACAATAAGCATTGCATGTGATTGATATTTGACACTAAATGGTTAGCAATTTGTTTATTGCTTAAGGAGATATTTTTTTATTCATATATACATTTCTCCAAAATTTTTTAAAGTTAAACAATGAGATAAATTTTTTTATTTTGCATGGGAAGAAGTATGTAGTTATAATGTGTAGAAAGTAAAGATAGAGATAAAAGTAAAAATATTTCAAAAGTTAAACAAACACTAGAAAAATGAAGTAAGAAAATATTTTCAATAACCTAACCAAATATCTGAAAATGATGAAAGGGAAATGATTTTCATGGAAAATTACTTCCACGGAAAATATTTTCCCAAGGAAAATATTTTACTTCCAACCAAACAGACCCTATATTTTTCTTTTTTACTTTCTAAAGGTTCACTGTTTTGTCACGTAAACTGAACTTTATTTGGACCATTTGGTCTACCCTGAAGAACTATACCAGCCAAAATACGCTAAATCCTCAAACTTTCATTACTTCCCTTCTTTAGAATTGTTTTTTAACATCTCTCAGCTTTCATATGAACTCAAATCATTTCAAGCCCATGGGCACCTATTGTGGTTGTGGTATTGAAAATGAAATTAATGGGCTCCAATGGGTTCCTTAATCAGTCAATCATCATATAACGACATGCCAGGCATATATGTCAAAAGACATGCTGTACTGATGTAGTTTCTCGAATGGCGGGGTACCTCTTAAAGCAATCAAACTTTGTTCGGCTCCAATGCCAAATTACAGCTAGAACGCCAAAAAGCTATAGTTTTGGTGACGGTATGATGACAATTATGCTTAAAGAGAAAAGGCGATTTTAGGCCCAAGTGAGTGACACAAAGATGCCAAAATAAATTATAGAAAAGGCAAGTCAAATTTGAAATCAAGTGCCAAATGAACAAAAAGCTAAAAGGAACGCTTTCTCACCTCTCCCATTTCTGATTCAAACTGACAAAGGCTTTCCTATACCCAAGCTCAAGTGTTTCACTTCTGTAATTGCCCTTTCAATTGAATGCAAACTGTTCTAAAAGGTTTCTTAGCTGTAATAGTAAAACAGCAAGAAAAACAACAGCAGAAACTAGTTACACTCCCTCGAAAAGAGAGAAGGATACTTGAACTATTAATTCCAATCTCCACCAACACACCAGAAAGTTGCTCTCCGAGTCAAACTACTACCACGGAGTAGAAGTACAAAGAAAAGCATCCGCATACTTCTACGAAAACTTGGCAGTTGCTGATACTTCCATTTTTCCAATACTTTACAAAAATAGATACCAGTTCGATCTTACATAAAGCTTTTCTAAGAACAAGATAGTATGCAAGGCAATAAAAACTGAATCAACCTCAATTAATTACTACAGAAAACACATCTGAAAAATTTTATAAAACTTTTTCCAGGACAACAGTTGGCTTATGCATTTTCAGCAACCACATACACGGCTATCTCAAACAAAAGACCCTCGAGGCAGGAAGCACATTGGAAGAGTACCCAGCACACAATATGGTTTATGCATTTAATGCAGATGGTGTAATTTAAGGCATAAAATTGCTTTATCAGCTAAGGGAATGCTTCCGTCATACTCCACACAAAGAAATAATTCCAAAATAAAAGGAGCAGCTAAAGAAAATATCTTCAAAATTTTAAGTGTGTACTGGCAGTATGAGTACCGTAATGTCAAGACATCTACAGCTTAGGCAGCAAGTCTGTCAGATGGGAATAGATCTGCTCTTTCATGGCATCTCTGTTATTTTTACTCAACGTAAAAACAGTAGCACCAGGTTCATTTCTCAACCTTGCAACTGCAAATTTGCAGACAGCATAGTTATGCTTCAATAACAAAGAGATGCATTAATCAATTTAGTTCTGGCCAAAAAGTGCTACTATTTCTTTCCCGCCTTTTTAATTTTTTAAGATGAAAGATGGAAAGACTCGTCTTACGGTTTTACAGATTCTAAGCCCATTCAATATGCCTATTAGGTTTATCATCTGAAGAAAAATAGCACCAATATTTGGGCTTCAAGTATGATTAAAATGAATAGATAATTGATTCCAGCAATGAGCTCCAAATAGGTGGTGCATGCAACTATAGTAAAATAGTTAGAGGTCCACAAACACAAACCTCCAGGTATATCTCTGCCAGATTTTGGTATGGGAATAGAAGCCAAGAGTGGAATATTTGATTGCAGGACTCTTAGTACAGCAGGAAAGAAAAAAGAACTGCACAGCTCCATCTTACCAACTTCATCAATGATAAAAAGTTCAGTATCTTCCTTGACCTATGAAACAAAAATCATCGTCATAAAAATTCCATCAATTAGTAAACAGAGTTTTTTAGAATGCAAGCAAACTTAACAAATGAATCAAACCTAAAGATCTAATGAAAAAATAAATACAAGTTTAAATCTGGATTTGACAGTTATTTAAGCCACCTGCAACTCTGGCAACGCTAGTGATTCAAAGGAAGCCACATCTACTCTGTACCTCCCTACGGTAGGCCATCTAAGAGACTCAGCGCTGCCATGGAAAAATAAGGACAAAAGAATGCCAAAAAAAATTCAAATCACCATTACCACCCACTCCATGTCAGAAACATGACAACATTCCAAAAGACAAAGCAGGAAAACAAATGGCTTGATCATCTAACCAAAGACAGCTAATTCAAAAGAAAATGCGGAACAGAGTTGAAAATGACAAAGCCAAACTGCAGATCCATCTAATGCCAGGGCCAGTCAAAAGATATAACTAGAGAAACAATCTTCAGTAGCCTATCAGGTTCTGTACGATTCTTCCCTTGAATCCACTTTAAGAAGATTGGAAGTCAGCATTACTTCACTACTTAAAAATTCGCGAACATTGGACAAAGTTTCAAACCACAACCAAAGAGCCACAGAGAGAAAGAAACAGTGAAATTAACAGCCGCATCACTTGAATGTTTCCAAAACTTACTAAACATGTCTTGTTTGAGCAAACACAATACAATTCTCAATCACCTGCACGCACCTCTTCATAGGAATAAACAACAAATTCTCAGCCAAAATCAGAAGAAATAGAAGAAGGAGCTAAACAAGGTCACCTACTCAATTTAAATTTCTAAATTTAACAAAAACTTCGAGCTAATAAGAATTTAAAACAATATTCATGCTAATACAGAAGTAATGAAGTATCTTACACTTATTTTATCCAGAAGCTCGCATTACTTGTACAAAGAATTCAACTAATCGAGCACAACAATTGATGCAGACAAAACAAAAGACATAGCAATGAGCCCGATCAACTGCTTCTCTCCACTTCAGAGAAAAAATCAAATATGACATACGGTTCATCTCAAACAATGACGAGAAAATGTCACGGTAACTAAGCAGTAAAAACGAAAACGAGGAAAAAAATGACGAAATAATACCTGGAGATTTTGTTGGAAGCGAGAGGACCAGTACGTCCATCGAGCGTCACCACTTCAAAGCCTACTCTGTCACTTCCTTCTCTTATTTCACCTTTTTTTCAATTCAAATATTCATTTCGACTAGGTTTTTCAAATGCTACGTTTTTCCCTCGAAATAAGAATAAGAAATATAGATAGAGAAAGCGCGCTTACGAGTATAGAAACCTTGAACCTTCAAGTTTGGGTAAGCAGTTTTTAGGCTCTCCAACACTCGAATTATGAGTGTCGTCTTCCCTACGCCCTGCGGACAAAAATTCACCAATTATTCAACATCATAAAACTTATCTAGAAAAAAAAAAAAAGCATTGAGAGCTTTGGAAATGAGTATAAACTACCGGAGGACCGGTAACGAGAAAACATTTCGCCGGAGCAGCCGCTGCCATATCTCCTCTTCTCCTCCGACGCTGCCTCACTACTCTCTTTCCTCCCCTTCGCTCTCGCAGGTTTTTAAAACTCTCTCACTCTTCTTTTTGAAGCGAAATTTAGACCAACGACGTAGTTTTGGCGCTCTTTTCGAATACTCGAGCCTAGTTGCTAGCTGGGTGCGGACTTTATACATTTGTGGGCTAGAGTTTTGGCTCGAGAAGTTTCAAGTGTGATCAACTTAATTAATGAAAACCTTTTCCAAAAAAAATTAATTAACTAAACTCGGTCGAAATGAATATTGTATGGAGTATATGTAAACTCATAATACTTTCATTTGATGATAAGTGCTGGTATAACTTTTTATTGTGAAACATAACTGATTAATGCACCAAAGAATAAGAGATTTTGTTTTTTTTTTTATCAATAGGGAGTTTTAAATCAAATAACTCCTCACACTTTACTAATCAATCTAACTCTTTTCCAGAGAAGAGAACACGTGATAGATATATTGCTAAAACAAAATCTAATTTGAAGATGAGAGTAATTAGTAAAATGTCTCTTTTCCCTTTTTTTCTAATTCTTGACTAAGTAAAATGAAAATAATTATGGTGAAAAGAAGCTTCGTGGGAAATGGGAAAGATGCCACCTACACAAGTGCACGGCCAAGGAGAAGAATTCTTTTTTTAATAGCTGATAATTTCATTTGCGGAGGCCGTTCAATTATCACACAACACCACTTCTCTGACTTTTTCTCTCATTTACATTATTTTTGGAAATTCGCCATTTTATTGCACCGACCGTTTATTTTGAACAATCATTTATTTTGAACCCAACAGGCAAAGGAGAAGAACTTGGCAATCAATTATTGAACAGAAAAATAAATAGAGAAATTAACAATGGTTCCATCTTCCATGTGCCAAAATGTAGACGATGCGATGCACACGGAAAACGGACCCATTCTTGAGCCTCAACCTCTCCACCGCGGAGAGGGAGAAGGAATAATACTCCAATTAATGAAGACACAGAAAAAAAAAATAAAATATGAAAGGCACATGGACCCAATATTACAATATGCCAAAGATATTTGTCATCAAATCGTTGAATTTGCCAAAGGGGCCTGGCGTTCAACATCTTCCCATTGGCCAGAATCCCAAACCAATGAATATCTTTTCGTCCCATGTGGTGAAAACCGATTGACTTTTCAGTCTTTTCTTTATCAAACGGATTTTTCATGAGAGCCCATAGAATTTCGTTGCGTGCAAGGTTTTCCAGGTTAAACACCGTACTGGGCAATCCCGAATCTTTATTAAATTGAAAAAGACAAATAGGTACGCTACAGCACTAAAAAGTAAGGGCAATTGGAATTGAAATACAAAATATTGCTGGCATTACAGTTAGAAAATTGAATTGCCAGACCAGGGGATGTGATCCTAACAAAAGCAATATAGGAATCAAAAAAAAAAAAAAAACAAGCAAAGGCAACTCGAACGCAGCGAATTAAGCAGCAGTGTACAAGTACTGATTTTGAAAGGACGCAAACAAACATAAACTCTCAATTTACAAAAACATTACAACAATTTTAATTTTTTCAAAATTAACTTTTTATGCATTAGCAGTATAATTATTTTTTATAGAATCCTCTCAATGCAACTTGCAAGAAAAATTGGCCAATGTAACAGGTTGAGAAAAGAATACGAAGCTCGAAATCCCGTGAAATTCCAATAATATATGATCACTATCGACAGGCATTCATTCAAGTCCTAAGTAATTTCCTGCTCCTATTATTATTCGCAACTGGAAATCGTAATTCCCTAAACTCTTATTCAAAGGCCAAGTCCTAACTAGAAGCCATTTCACAGGTTAATACCTTGATTAGGTTCTGACCAAATATCTCGCGAAGATACTTTCTGTGCATCTTTTTCTTGTATCGGCAGGCACCTAGCAAATTGCTGGCGTTTACACAACCAACAACAAATTGGTCCCAAAATTAAAAAGGCAAAGAAAGCAACCTCCTCCAACAGTTATCACGGATTCATACATCTTCCACATCAATAAAACACACACTCAATTAATGTGAATCAGCGCTCAAGGCTAAAGCTTAGGAAAAGAATTCAAAGAACAAAATGCGAGCCAAACGTAGACAAATTCTAGCTACATTATCATTAAGCATAATAGAAAAGGATAAAAGTACAAAGCCATGGACGCAGCTTAAGCAACTGCCTGGCTACTGAAAACTAATTTTTTCTTTTCTTCTTCAACTAACCTCTTCAAAAAAAATTAAAAACCATAAAAGGAAAAAAGAAACTATTTATCTTAGGATACTACTAATCAAAAGGTAGAGGTCATGACATTTTTCTTCACATCCTAAACTTCTGGCCCCCCACAGTCCCTTTACTCATCATCATCCTCCTCCTGTAAACAAACATTAAATTCTATTGTAAGCAACATACAGACCAATGAAAACATCAGCATAAATAATTATCTTCTGACCAATAAAATAAGAACTGTAGTTAATTGTTAATTCACAGGACCTCTCCACTTCCTTCCTCATCATCCTCCTCATCATCGTTAACCTCGGACCTAGATTTGTCAGATTCCTCCTCCTCGGCTCCAGGTCCATCAGCCTGTATTGAAATAATATATTTTCAAAGCATTAACATCTACAGAAACGACAAAATAAATCAGAACAGATACAATTATGGTTTTGAATTCAAACGTGAAAAGTAGATACCAGTCTCTTGTTGTAAGCCTGAAGATTCTTCTCATATTCAACCTTCCTCTTATCAGCCTTAGCTATGTATGGAGCTTTTTCCTAAAATCAACAAGGAAAACAATAAGAGAAACGGTCGATTTAGAAACAGTTAATTTTTGACAAACGGGAATAATCTACTTCAGATTTGAAAAAATTACGCACAGCGTCGGACATGGACTTCCACTTGTCTCCACCAGCTTTACCAACCTAAATTCCAAATCAATTTAAAATTAAAAAAAAGCTTTTATAATAGTTAAAAAGGCCAAAAGGTTCATCAACAGAAACAGCGAGATTTTTGGATCTAACGGTAAAAAACTATCGAAATTAGAGAAAACGAACTTACAGCTGCCACAGATTTGTTATTTGGATGCTTTTCCTTGTACTGTTTCCTAAACTCCTCCCTATTTAATTCGACAAAAAACCGTACTAAAAATTAAAAAAAATGAAATAACAGCTATTCAAATACTCAACTACATATCAGACGCTTACAGATCCAAAAAAAATCAGAACAAGCAACAAAATCGAAAAACAGAAGGCGAGGAATGTTTTACATGAAAACGAAGAAAGCGCTAGCAGGCCTCTTAGGCTTGTTAGGATCCTTGGCAGCCTTTCCTTTCTTCACCGGCTTCTTCCCAGCGGCAGCACCTTTCTTCACAGAAAGCCTGCAAAGAAATTCAATAAAAAATAGAAACGATCAGATAAACGATACAACGAAGACAACAAAAAAAAGGCGAACAACAGACGCAATAGATCTAAAAAAAATTAAATACTGAAAACGAACGAAAAGCCACAAAACTCACTTGGTATCAGCCTTAGCCTTGGATTTGCCTCCCTTCATGACGAAACCTGCGAGAAAACCACGAAAACCAGTGAGAATCGTTCAGGAATCGGTTAAAACCGGTGCGAACCGGGCGAGTGAGCGGAGGCAGGCGACCGAGTCATACCTCGAGGCAGAGAAAGAGAGAGATAAGAATAAGAGAAAGAGAGAGGAAACAAAGGGATATGCTTTAGCCCTTTGGTAATGCGTGTTGTGTTGTGTGCGTTGCGAAAGGGAGAGATAAGAAGGGGTTTGAAGGAGGGGGATAGAGAGAGAAACTAGTGTGTGTGACTAGTTAGAGTAGTGTTATTTTTGTGAGAGAAAATTGAATCACAGAAACAATTTCAAGTCCGCGGTCTGGTTTGGGCGGGATTTCAAAAATCTCCGGACACGTCATCGATCCGAGTGAATTGATTCTATTGGAGGTAAGCCCCTGTGGAATTGCTTCGTTGGGGGTCGCTTGGCTCTGTGTTTTCTCTGTGCTTCTTTGGGGAAGGATAATGGCCTTCCGATGGATCGCTGGCGGAACAGAGCGGACACGTGGAGGGAGGGGATCTCTTGAGGGGTTTTTGGTAATTGACCCATACGTGTCGTAGTTTGGCTGTGAAATGACGGAATTAGACCTTCTTTTGGGTTATGACGGTTCAGTCGGGGTCGTTGTGGCCCTATTAAAGAATTCTCGATATATATGAAATGATTGAAATCCGCGTTAGTGACTTCTAGGGACATTTTTGTCATTTTGTGTGTAGTTGTCATATTCTTCATCTTGGTTCTTCTGTTTTGCTATTTTTTAATTTTTCCTCGACATTTTCTATGTAGAACAAAAGTATTAGTAATTGTAGTTGCATCATATTTATGGATAGAACAAAAGTATTGTTCTACATTTTCTATGTAGAATTGTTTGGGGAGAGTATTATTTGAAATAATTACTGTAACATTTTTTTCATATAATATATGTGAGATAACAAATTGATTATAAATATAAAAAAATGAGTTGAAAAATGTATTTATGATACAAGTGAAATATTTATTTAAAAAAATGAGATATACAAACACACTTTTTCCAAAAAAAATTTACAATTTTCAATCATCTTTTTATTTCATATACGTCAACTAGTTATAATATAATTTTCTACAAAAACATTAGAAAATAACAATCCAAACAAACTTTAACTTTCTCACTTACAAGGTTGAAATCCCTTCCAATAAAAGATTACATAATGATTGAATTTTATTTGATTGATTAAGGGAGTCCAAAAATTTTAACAAACAAGTTTTCAACATGTGTAGGGTAATCTGCTGGTTAAAGCGAGGTTTGTATCTAATATGTGACCGTGTGTAGATTAAGTGATACAAACAAGATTGGTGTCGTACCAAGTTTTGGTAGAGTCAATTAATCCCACATTTATCCTTAGGTGTACAAGAACCTCTATGCATTATTTGTACGCCAATAATAGTACCTTTTTCTCAATTAAAATGATTACTACAATATACTAGTCAGTTAATCACAATCTTAAATGATAGGATTAACAGTTCATACCGCCTCTTATACAAAAAAAATGAT